ATCTAGAGCGCAAACTACAACAGACTGCAGAGGCTGGGTCAAGCACAGACCGCTATCTGAGAGAAACCGATAAGGCTAATGCTTTGCTGAAGCGTCAGTTAAGAGAGAGTGAGGAGGCCAGAAAATGTCTTGAAACTCAAGTTCAACAGTTGGAGAAGACGTCTTGTTGTTATAAGTGTAGTGCACCTCTTGGGTTAATAAATGAGATGGATTCCCCTGCGTTGGAATCAACAGGGAAGAGGAGAGGTTCTACATCTGTCCAGAGTGGTAGGAATGCATGTAGTCCTGCATTGCAGCGGGTACGTAGCGGGTTACTACGTATTGATGATGATCTAAATAATTGTGTGAAAAATATCTCGCAGATGGTGGCGGACGACAAGGAGTCAGAGATTTATAACCTTTTGTTGAGTTTGACTTCTGAAGAATCACAGAGTGGAGATGGTAGAGAAATAGAAACACGTGTTTCTTCAGGGAAAATGGTGCTTTCTACGGCGCGTGACTATAAACGTGAGGTGCTGCGTATGAGCAAGGCGTTATCTCAGCGAGATTATGAGAGTCGAATACTGGAGTCTAGACTTGATGATCTTCATAGGGAGCTTTCTTCTATTGAGGAGGCTATTGCAGAACAACGGCAGGGATATGAACAGAATTCACCAGAGGATGTTCAATTGCTGAAGGAGCTTCAGAAGAAACAAGAAGGTCTGGTGGAGAAACTTTCCAGTATTCAACGAGATTTGATTGAAATGCGTGAGTCACAGCAGCAGCGACAGCAGCAGTTCTTAAGAAGATTGCAGCAGTATTCACCTACGCTGGTGGAGGCGTATATGCAAAAGACATTTGCCTCCGAATGGTGGGAGACGGGTGCTCTCTCGGCAACGGTGGGTGCAGTTCTTACGTTTGGGCTGGGTTCACTCTTGTATAAACAGTACGAACTTTGTTAGTAATGGACCTCATTCTATCAATTTCTCTCTTTTTCTTCTTTTTTTTTTTCAGTTTGGGTAATGCAAACAAAAAAAAAGTGAATAAGAAAGAAAGAAAGAAAAGAAAACGAAAGAAAAAAAAAAGGAACGCCATTCCTCACGGATCCTCATAGATATGTGTTCAGACCGTGTGTATATGTGTATGTATGTGTGTATGTTTGTTTTCTTTGCGTGTGTTATTTTATACATAAGGATGAATGTATGCGTGTAAGATCTTTCCAACATCGTTTCGGTTTTTTTTTTTTTTTCTTTTCCTACTTATTGTGATGTAAGGGTGTCTCTGGTGGAAAAAAAAAAGACACTCTACTCTTGTTTTTAGTTATGAATAAAAGGCGATTCCTTCAAATGTGTTTTTCTTTTTTTTTTTTTACTCGTATTTCGTGTTTTTTTTTTTTTTTTTTTTTTTTTATCCAACTCTTTTTTTTTTCTCTAGTTTTACTGTTGCTCACGGGGAAAGACTTGTAAAGCCTCAGTAGTTTTTTTTTTTTTATATATAGTTTCTCTTACTCTGAGCTTCTCTCTCTCTCTCTCTTTCATTCTGTCATATTACTGTTATTATTATTATTATTATTATTATTATTA